AGAGAGAGAGATAATGTTGTTAATTTGCTTGGGCTTCATCGGTCAAAGCTTTCAGTAACTTATGCTTATAAGCCACGGGCTTATAGAAACTATCAGGTTACGAACGGTGCCACAACTGAGCGCATCCATATGGCTTGGCTTGGTTGTAAGGGGGACTGGGTATGGCTTCGAAAAGCATTTTGCTTGGAGACTGGATTCTCCTCGAGGAGAGTTTGCCACATGTGCGACCAGCAGGCCGGCTACCCCTACTCGTTGACTTTTTTAATCTTTTTTAGTAAGTACATATATATATATACAAGAAATAGTCTATAGATAGATGGACTCTTGGCCCGGAGGATTGGTACAACTGCACACCCTCGTCCCGAATTCGATCCTGGACACCAAGCGTTCCTGTTGTGCCCCCATGGAAATCCATGCGATCCCCGCTTCGGGACATCCCTGGAGGCGACGATGTTTTCCGTATCCGGACTGACCCTGCTCACACCTTCGCCATCCAGGGGTTCGGATCTACATTGGCATCATCTGCGGTGATTCTTTTATCGATCATAATGCTGTTCCCAGGACGTTCCACACAACTTCGGTTGAATAGATTATACTCAAGTTTCATCATGTGGTGTCGGGTCAACTCAAAAAGCACCAGCATCGACCGTTTCTCCTTGTTGAAGTTCAAGATGAAGACGCTTCCAGCCTCAAGTAGCACAGACTCGATATGTGTTGGGTGTGAAGCTACTTTTAGATTGTGTTCAGGGCCTACCTGTGAGGGGGTTGAGCTGAGGCTTCGAAATTTTCCATCTGGCGCTGGGAAGGGGTTCGATACCATTCTCCTTTGCTGCTGGCTGGATGATTTGTTGAAGGAGGGTGAACAGTCTGAGCGGGTCGTGTCTGGTTCTACATGCTCTCATTTTGGTAGTTGTACGTTGTATATGTTAGTAAGTGATTAAGATGAAATAAACCACCAACTATTTTATGTTTTCTTGAAGCAGTTTATTCCTACACTTAGGAGCCCCAGTACCGAGCCATCTACGAGCTCCTTCAATGGACCCTGGCCAGCACAAACTCTTTCTTTCGGGGCATCAGTCAGTCTGGAGTTTGGATTCCGAATGCTTTTGCTGCCACGCTGGTTGAGCACGCGTGGAACATGACAGAGCTTTCGCTGCACCAAGATCATATTGATACAGCTTCTTTTGAAATCTAGAACTTACTGTAACTTGAACTGCTGCTAATGCGACAACACACATCATATCAGGAAGGAGCAGGAGCACTGGCATCAGAAACGGCCTGCCGACGCTGGCCATTGTTTAAACTCAAGCCCAAGATTCACATGATGATGCACATATCGATGCTTGGCGACTTACAACAGTATGTACTTGCTGATACTTTATTCGCTAAACTGCATTTGATAGTCTGATCGCATTCCTCGAAGTGTCCCAGGCGGGATCTCGAAATCCAAGTTCAAATGGGCCTACCGTGGATCTTGAATCCGCTGAGCCCCTAGACCTGCAATTACAACAATGCGAAATTCGGAGCAGATTGTCGTGTGGTAACATGTGCCAAGTCTTTGCATAAGGCATGGCCTGCTGGGCCGACGAAGACTTTATTGGTCGATGCTGTCGCATATCACGTCGGCAGTCGAATGCCACAGTTGCGATTCGAACGATGCGTGTGTGTCTTCTTCTTTACCAGAAGCAGTGGCAGCAGCAGTTTGCATAAAACATGCGCTGAGCTCCCGGCTCTTCCGGTCTGATGAGGTTGGCAGCGTTGAGGATGATGTCGAGCGGGGTGGGTTGGGGTGGGTTTTGTATGGAGCTGTCTTTAAGGCTTTCTGAGGAAGGATCTCTGTAGGTTGTGGTTCGTTTAAACGCGAACATAGTCAAACCCTACATAACCCACACGATTCTCAAGGATCGAGACCTGCTAAACCTCACGTATGGAAATATCCATCCCGTATGTAAATGTGGCAAACCCATCACCCCGCATGGAAATCTTAAGGCGCGGAAATATCCATATGTTTGGATGGTCTAGGTAGGGTTTAGGGCTTAGGGTCCTAAACCCCGCACCTGCGCCTCCCCCAGATGAAAGTCTAGGCCTCGACCGCACGAAGTCACGCCAAGCCAACACTCGACGCCTGTCCTATGCAAGATTTAAGGGCCAAAGTGAGCTTAGCCTCCTTGTGTGTCACTCTCAACCAAACCTTTGAAACATATAAAAGCCTTAAACTTAAACAGAAAACAGACGAGTGCATTGATTTGGCGCGTAAGGCGCTGAGCCCTAAACCCCGATCCGGCCCCGAGGAACCGGAACCTCAATAGAACACCCTAACCCCTAACCCTAAACCCTGAGCCTGATCCTCTGCCCGGCGTCTCCGTGCTAGGCCCAGATGGAGGATGATCAGGAGACCATCCAGCACACCAAGGTGCCAAAGGGACGACTTTTGTAAAGAAAGAGGTCTAAGGACGGGGCAGAGTGGTATTTTAGGGCTTTAAGCACTTAGGGGCCGTCGTAATCAGAATAGTGTTCTAGGGTTGAGTATAGTGTTTCAGGGTATGGTATAGTGTAGTCAGGTAGTCTGGGGCGGACTCATGGGACACTGAGACGGTTTGTGCAGACCAAGGTTAGACCCTATCGGGTTAAGAGGTCTAAATGGCTGTCGGGCGGATATTTTAAGTGTACAAATTTGTTGATTGATACCCCAGTTGTGTATACTTCGGCTTGTTGATACTGTTCTCGTGCGGGGTGCTGATGCCAGGGCCCGGAACCCTGAATTCCGCCCTCAAAGTCCTGAAGCCGACGAGTCCTCGACTTGCTTCACTTATCGAAAATCAGACTTGCAGTAACGCCTGTAGTGACCCCTAAAGCAACCCACTGAGGGTCCCTTCCAGGCGCCGTCATCACAGCCAGTACCTTACGGGGAGCCCCACGCAACTTAGAACACCAACCAGGCCACGCCAGCCTCTGGCACAAGCAGAAGGAAATTTAGGGAAGAAGGCGAGAGCCCCCCCTGAGCAGGTTAGGCTAGTAATTTTGCGGAGAGCTGTTCCTATACAGGATTCTTACAGCACATGAAGGCTCCTCCAAAAAAACAGCCAGAAAGTAGAACTCTGAACCCAAACCCGGCCCCCTATCCTGAAAAGCTGCCATGAACCAAACCTTCGAGGTTCATTCTGAGGGTTTAGGGTCCAGGGTTTTAAAAGGTTTAAGGTTTAGGGTTCTCGCCCCTCCCTCTGCTCGTTATGGCGCCTCGGGGCGCCATGGTTTCGCTCCTCTTTGTGCTGCTCGCGCCGGGGAGCCTCGCGGCTCCTAGCCTCCGCGGAGCCAACGAAAGCCAGCGGAGCCTGGGTTCCGCATCATTAGTATTATTATTAGTATCATTATTATTTTTATTATCATTATTATTATTAGTATTATGTTTATTATGTTTATTAAGATAATTTAAAGTTATGGGAAAACTTAGGGTTTGGGGTTTATAGGGTTAAGGGAAGACGGTTTGGGTTTCGGGGTGAGGGCTTATAGGATTTGGGGATTTTATGCAGGTCCATAAGGCTTTCTGTTTTTTTTTGGGATTGCATAAGGGTTGCACAAGACATCCCTTCACTGCCTGTCGTCTCGTCCTTAGCGTTTGGATTTCCGGAATTTCAGTTTGTTGTGCGAAGAGTTTTTGGGGCTTCATGCAGCGCTCGGGCGCAATGCTGTTAATGCTGCCGTCAATGCTGGCTGTTCTGTAGACTGCATGGCAAGCTTGTATGTTGCTCAATACTGTCCTTCGCCCGTTGCTGCCACTATCGCAGACTACATGACTGCTACTGCTTGGGCATTCCAAGGCTGAGTTTGTTGATTCGCGATTCTTATGTCAAAATGTAGCTGGCAATCCTTTTCTCCTTGCCACTGTTCCTCGCCTAAATCCAAAAGCCCAGTCCCCAGCCCCCCAACCCTGAACCCTAAACCTTGAATCCAAAAGCCCAAGCCCTAAACCCCCAAACCCTGTATACCCAACATTCTGGGGGAAGCTCCAGAGGCTCCAAAAGCTTTTAGGGTTGAGGGTTTAGGTTTTAGGGTTTAGGTTTGGGGGTTTAGGGTTTACGACTTAGGGTTTAGGGTTTAGGAATTAGGTTTTAGGGTTTA